GCATAGGTCGCGCACGACGAATGCGAAACTGCGACAGACAGGGGAACTTCGTAACTCTCGGGCTTCTGGTAGTAACATCTGTACAAACACAATACAAAACTGCATGCATGGGAGTCAAAATCTGCCCTGAAGGGAAGCTTACAATATCAACTTTGATGACGATTCCCCTCGAGCCAAGGCGAGTTAGTCCAGCTTGGCTATTCATTCAAATTTAACACAGGTGCACGGTAATGCACTCTATATCAGTCTTGATTCACATCGAATATGAAGGTTAGACTTGTTTTGAATATCACTGCTCATCTAACGCACTCGTGAGAGCGAGCTCTCCAATTGCTAGGTGCGAGCTCACAATTTCCGGGTCCAAGTTCCACTTGAAGGTGGAGTTTATGATGAAAGACATCTCCCTTACAATCAAGGTAGAGGTGGTTAATGATGTAGAGATGAGTGAAAAGAAACCAAGAGCGGCCTAGAATCCTAGAAATGGGATAAGCGTGTGTCGTCGGCGCTGACCTCATGAACGTTAACGCTATCTCTGCTAGAGCAGGTAGAGCCAGGCAGCCAGGGGGTGCGCACGGCGTGAGCGGCGCGGGTATCGCTCTGCTAGACCGTTGGGGACATACCCCAGCTGCGAAACCTGCATCGTCCCGTACCCTTGGGGGACCACCTGTATTTCCACAAGTATATTCCCCTTCGATCTCCGACCTTATCATGGAATCCTCTTTGAGCAGACGTCATGTTGTGGCAATGGAGCCGTTAGCAGGCGGGTGGGGGGGGGGGGGGGGAAGGATGTACTCCTTGGTCAGATCTTTTCAAGGGCAACCAAATTGCTTATCAGTTCCTGCAGAATGCGCATTTAATTGAAAAAAAAAACGCATTCTAGGTCAATGGTTTGCGACTCTAAGTGGTGAATGCGCGCTTCGTTTTACGTAGCATAGTTGCCACTATTAGCGAAGCTGTCAGATCGCAGTCGCGAAGTATGAGGACGTTTCCGGTGCTCTCGTTCATGTGGTCGAGTTTCACCATCCAGTCGCTAAGCTTTGTCATCAACCATTACGATTATTTTCACTATCGATTTTTTTGTGTCAGGGATGCCATTCCTGAAATATGGAAGTGTTCCCTTTTGACCGTGGGCTCACCTTTACTACCCGCCACAGTTGCTGTTTTCAGCAACCGCTATTCGGCGCGTCGCCGGATTGCGACTAAGATGTCTTGACGCCGGGTGTCTCTTGCCGTTATGCCGCATTTCTGTTGCGAAGTTGCTTACATCATTGACTCCAGGGTGTTTTCTGTTCAAAGTCAAACAACATTTTAGAATTTCAACGAGGGTGGTAGTAGTCAGTGGTCGACTCATTTAGGGCGAACGGGTTAGCTCTTTTTAACTGTTGAGGAAGGGTTTCAAATTGCCTCCTTGGATCACAAAAAGAACTGAGACTGCCTTTAGCGGTGTAAAGGGTACTCCAGCGATGACATTGCGTAGCTGATCACTGCATCTAGAATCTCTTCCCTTTTTAGGATTCTCGCTTCTTTCTTCACCGTTTCCTTGTGTGGCGCGCACAATTCGTGGTAGACGGAACCTTGACGGCCACATTACACGTATTTAGCGCCAATGTTCTTGCTATTCCGGCGTGCGCTGGATTTGCGTTGAAATTTGAATGACTGCTTTGTTTGGATTTGGGCAATTCGACAAGCAGCATGTGGGTACCCGACAGGAGGCCCGTCGCGCGAGCAAGAAGGCAGAGTCAGCGGACGAGTCGCAGCGCAAACTTGTAGTGATTTCGCGTCAAGTTGAAGTAGAATGTACCATTGTACGTCCTACATCGCACAGCGCGCTGCGACTCGTCCACTGACTCTGCCTTCTTGCCGCGACGGGCTCTTGTCGAGTACCTCAGCTGCAATATGTTTCAGAGGAAGTGGAGTTCTTCATACACATGCGCGCACACCTAGATGGAAACTCAAATTTTTTGTGCTTCAATTTACTCACAAATTTCGACTGAAACATATTCTTACCTGTTGTAATTTATTTGTCATTGTGCTCATCATTAAAACGCTCAGCGCGATGCGTCTGCACTTCACATTCTCCTATGGAACCCCTTTTGCCATGCTGATTCTGCAATTTTCATGGTTTCTGAGTTGTTCACATCCATTGAACCCGCTCCAAACCAGTATTTATTTATTTCTATATACGTCCAGTGGACGCGCTTGGACAGAGCATATTCGAATAGAAATACTATCAGACGCTAAAAAGGCAGCAGTCGTCCTCAGTTGAGTCACAATAATTGATGGGTCAAAGTATAATATATGAAGTTTCGTATAACTTCGTATAATGTATGCGCATTTGAAAATGTCAAAAATGATCGAGATACGGAACACGGGCTGTAATCAGCGCATGCGATATTCGATAAGTTGTAGTAGAAACGAACGGACTAGAAAAAATGTGATATTTTGCAGTTTCGTTTGTGGAGGACGGGTTACCAATGGACACGTATTTTGCCATTCGCCGTGAAAGGCAGCGACGAGCGGCACGTAAACAAGTAAGTTTGCGCCACCATCAGCGAAAGTAAACTCGTCCAGGCTGCACCTCTTCCCATGGAATGACCGCGTGTCGGGTAACCAGTCTGATTTTGTTGTTACGAGTAAAAGATAAAGCGAAAATGAGGTCAGACGGTGCATCTCTGCGTGGATTCCCCGGTAATCGCTTTGCAACCTGACACGGGAAGGGGGCTTCATCGGCCCGTTACCGTTGACTGGCTTGGGCAGCAACGGCGAGATTGCGAGTGATAGCTAGCTGTACCGCCATTGCGTATATAAGGATCCTGTCACTTTTCCTGCCGCGCTAATCCCTGCTAATGTCGAAACGGAAAATGATGCCCTTATTTCTATCAAGTAGAGGTTCATTTTTCCCGCTACCGAGAGGTTGTTGAGTGCTCGAGGACCGGACGGAGTTACGCCCTGAAGAAGGTGACTGCGACGATACGGCAGCCAGTAAGTTCCCCTAGCAACCTCAAGAAGTTTAGCAAATGAAGTTAACCATTTTGTCATGTCGAGATTCATGAAAGACGAACGATGGCGCCCATTAATAAGTGTACACGCAACATCAACCTGCGCTGGGTGATTACGCTCTCTCTGAAAGCTGGAAGAATGTATATGCACTTGGACTGCCATTAGCAATTAGCATTAATTGTAATGGTAATCAATTTGGCCTGTAATCAGAGGTGGATCACACAAATTTGTATTCGAATTTCTCTTCAAATCTAGCTCGGCGCTGCTTCTCCTTTCGCCGCGCTCGCTTCATGATGTAACCCAGCCCGTGCTGCGTACGTATGGGCAACCGGTGAGCTTTCCCGTCGTGGTGTAAGAGCGGTGGCTTTCCAACACGATGCAGCGAGGTTGAGAGAGCCCCTGGGGCCTTGCCCACAGCTGGGGACGTGAACAAGAACCGGCGAGCAAGGCCCGCCATCGGCTTAGGATCGGACTTACTTGGTGTGCAACGGTCGGGGCATCCTTGCCCGGATACAATCTCTTATCACACAGTATGTGAAATGCATGCTGCGCCCCAGTCGGGCTTTAGCTCGGCGCTTCCCGAGTTAACCTCTAACATAGTGCACAATACACTAGGCGTGCTCACAGTTCATTGACAATAATTCCTTGGGTGTGCTTCTTAGTAATTCCTAGAGCGGGGTTTCCAGATTATCATGTCAGCGCTCGTCGAGTCGTAGAGTCACGCGGTAAGCGACAAGCGACGAGAGTAGCATTCTGCCTGATGCCTACCGATAGCGTCTATAAGGTATAGTTGGAAGCCAACCTACAAGCCCTCTGAACAGACGGAAGCAGTATGCCCGATCATACCGAGTGCCCAAGGCACTCACAGCCGGCTGCCTTCCACGCATCACCACATCCGGAAAGAGAGAAGTGCGCTGACTGGCAGAAGAGGTTCACTTGGGTAGAGCTGGAAGCATAGCCGGGGCAGGGCATGCGCTGGTTGTCGACGCATACACCGCGTTCGCGAACGTAAGATCGGCCGAGCCTGGGCGCAGTGTACCTAGGACCACGGTAGCGAGCTGCGATATTTTCCCTGCAGCAAACAGCATTTCTACATTTCCGTGGTAAGGTCAGGGAGGAAGGCCGAACCCAGACAAAAGTCGTGTCTAACGATTCGTTTCGGATTGTGCTTAGACTTCTTGAGTGCAGTTATATATGTGACATCCCGTGCACGGAAATCCCTCGACAAGAGCGCTAAGGCCTTGCAAAGTAGGCTGCAGCCAGCTGCAGTTTTTTTTTTCCCAAAAGCTGTTGTCTGGCGCCCTCTCATCTGTGGCGTTCTTTCGCATCATACTCTCCGCGCTTAGTCTTTCGTTGCCTTAGCACAGCCTATGGCGTGTGAGTAACATCTTACCAAAGCATTCGTGACAGATTTCTTTTATATTTTTCTTAACTGCGGCGGCCCATCGCCACCAATACATTCGTACGCGTGTGCAAGCAACACAGCCCCCCCCCCCTTTGATCCTCGGCATGCCTTCAAAACAAGGGAGTTCTGAAAGAAATGCAAAAGGAATATGCCTCAAAATGCAGTCAATCCAACTTTGAAAATGCACGCAGCCCGGTTTGGTTACCGTAATTGGTGACCACCGTGTATAGTGACCGGCAGTAAAAAAGTCAGCTTTTTCACTCTCATGTAAGTCTTGTTTCCATGTACCGATCGGGAAGGTAGGTGGTGGGTCTGGCTGAAACTTGATACGGAGTATAACGGGAATGTAAACGTAGTAAGTTTCGGACCATACGGCGCACTTCCAGCGCGTACTGAATATGTATTGGTTATGCGATCGATCAATAAGATGTGTGCCACCTTGAACCACAATTTACCTCCTGAAGTAGCACTACGCAATATTATCTGCGTTGTTCCTTAAAAAATGAAAAAGCGGATTAGGAAAAATGATGCAAAACTCAATAGCCCAGGAGTTGATGGGTCTCCCCTCTTCAGCTGAAAACTAACAATTTTTGGAAATACCTATGATGGGCCACGAAGTAAATTTCCCAACTGCGATATTGTGGTGCTTTCTGCGTCTTATGAACTCATCATTTCCCTTATGGGTGCATGATTGTTGTAAGTTCAAGTGTTTACAGATGAACGTCAAGCCACGACGTTCATGTCCTGAATGTGGCAAATGGACGGCTGCGCCGCTTTATATGCATATGATCTTCTCCCACGACTGGAATGAGCAGCAGGTTAATGAACTAAAAATGACCCTCAGAAATGAGAAGCTATCAAATCGAGGATACAGGGTCTATGAATGTCATCGATGACAAAATGGGCCGGTCAGATTTTTCTTTTTCAAACATTCTTCGTTTCAAACCGCAGCTTTTTCCTTCGCTCTGAGCTCTAGCGCACTAAGCGAATCGGAAGCGCTTCTCCTAATGAAGGAGGTATATAAGGAAAAAGCTCAAAGGCGGATCCCGATATGATGGCAAGCGGCAGGCACAAACACAAAAGACCCCCGCGGGGGATCCCCTGTTGAAAGCGGGTAGTAGAGGTTGTCTAAGGGTGCTATGGGTCAAGAAAATTTCCAAGGAAAAGGGCCCGGTGAACAAGGAACGGGTCCCTTCTTGCCTATTTATTTTCGCTTTGGATGAGAGAGATCGACGAGTTCGTTTGTAAGGTCGCGTTTATAGTTCGCGACTTGATAGTAGGCGATAGGATATTAGGATAGTAGTAGAGTAGGAGATTGCGCTGACAAGATTGGATACGTATCGATTGAAATCGCTGGAGAGTAGTAGATTGGGCGACTTCAAGCGAATAGATCATACGCTAATCTATACTGTCAGCCTAATCTCCTAATGTACTACTATGTCTACTATCGGTAATATTATAATCTGCTCTCTGTGACGATCCAGTCGATACGTATCTAATCTTGTCAGCGCAATCTCCTACTCTACTGCTGTCCTAATCTACTACTATCCTAATTCTTCCCGTCAATACGTATCTTTTTCACTGTCGCATACTTTCTAATCTCTCAAGTTGCAACTATGAACGCGGCCCAACCATCAGGGGCGGCCTTTTAACAGCCGCCTTGCTTTAAGACCATCTGCCGTCTTCTTATGGAAAAGTAAGGAAGTGACATGAATATTGATTCGATGGCCCCGTCATTGTTTAGGCTAGAATTCCAACCAAGATTCCCAGCGATTTTGAGTAGAAGGGTTCGAGGTTTCATTACTGTGAGAACTTCAACCTTCAGTTTTTCTTTTGCGAAAATTAAGCTGTTCAGGTTCACTTCTGCGAATGCGTTGGCGTCTCATCTTGTAATATGCCGCCAAATCGACCTCAAACCCAGGAATCAGTCAGGCAAATCTGCCAAAGAGAAACAATCCGAGTATTCCATGGATGGAAGCGCCCGACAATCGAAGCAACTGCCAATTCGTCCACCGATATTGCCTCCCTTACCTGAGCAGTTGAGTGAATCGCAAAAGGGGTTGGTACTCTGCCCAGTGCCTCGTTGCGGAGGCCGATTCACCAACCACGACAGCCTTGCCTACCATTGTATGATCGAACACTCAGAATTAGGAGCTGCGGGAACACCTCAGAACTTCGCCATACGACAGTATCGTTTCGAAACCAAAGATGAGTACAAGGTGGGCCAATCTCTAATTATTTGTCCGTTGAGAAGTTCCCCAACATCCATTGAAATTCTCATCTCATTGAAGGAAGAGATTACGATAAAGCTTCCTGCGCAACAGCGAAGTATTAGGTTGTTACAACATAATTGTCGCACTGTTTACCTCCACCCTACTGGACTAGCTTCTAAATCCCTAGAGAAGCTTGTGTATTCATTCGAAAGGAGACATCTAAGAGTGTAGAAGTGACTACACTCCGGCCATATCGTTTTTTTACATGAATTTTTCCTTTGGGCGCTGACCAACCGAAATTCAGGGGTGTGCACTGAATGTTTTATGACTTTTTGAGCAGCTGAATCCATCTCTATGGTCACAGCAGGTTTTGCAAACAAAACTCGACCTTAATCAAACCGTGCATTGGCTTGGTAAGAATGAGAAACGATGCTTTCGTGACCTAGCATCACCACGACCTAGCTGCATTTCACGAAAATAAATCACAGCAAAAATCTGCGACACCTTACTGAAGACCTTTGACTTTTCCACTAACCAGCTCCTGTCACGCTCCATCTATGCGCTGCTTATCGGAGTCAAGGCGGCACGTTGTGAATGAGAAACGATCCTGGGTTTCTGAGTCTGGGTGTCCAAGTTTGCATGCGCACAGCTGCTACAGTTCTTTAAGAAGAACGTCGAGTCTTTGCGTGAGGAATGGCGAAGCCTGATACAATAAGATGTATCCTTTTGTACTGAGAAGCCGAACGAAGTGTTGCTAATCGAACAAATTTTATCTACATCCAAAAACGACATTTTTAATGCAACAACCTACCATATGCGGTGCGCAAAGCAATAGCAATGCTGCCAAGAAAGTGAGGTGTAGCGCTTCCACGACGAAAGGTGCCAGTGATGCTGAGCAGTA